TGTGTGTGTGTGTGTGTGTGTGTGTGTGTGTGTGTGTTTAGTGTTATCCCCTCCATCTGTACAGGCGATGAAGCCCTCTAAGATCTTATCCTCTCTGGATCAGAACCATCTCCTTTCATATCGGGTCTTTTGTTCCCGTTCTTGGCAGCAGCTTCCTCCTCCTCCTCCTCCTCCTCCTCTCAACACGATAAGTGGGAGGTTAAAAACACTTCCTTTTGTTGTTCCACACAAAGACACTTAAAAAGTTTACAGATGTTGTGGAAACAGAGCAGAGTTTAAAAGTTCGTTCAGAAAGATCAACTTTCTCAAACCCAGCAGAGAAAAATCTGTTTTATTAATAAAAAGCTTTAAAAGTTTGAGATTAAATGTAAGTTCAAGCTGACTGATGTATTCCCAGTTCTGTTGCTGGAGGTGGTCATGTTATTTAATCAGCAGATAATGAGTGCAGTGAGTTAATGAATGCTTGTTGTTCATTAGGAGCAGGTTTAGTGCTGCTGCAGCGCTCTGACATGGATCAGTGTTGGGCAGCGGAGCAGAGACACGCTGTGATTTAACATCAGACAAAGGAAGACGTGCCGTGGCTTCAGCCTTTAATGACCTCGTAGATTTCCTGCTGATGAACGCAGAGAATTAAGCGTAAGCAGGCTAATTCACAGCTGCTGCTGCTGCGGAGCTCAGAGCACTTAGCTACACAAACATCAGTTTTAACGACTGACCTGTCACTTCACAGCTGGTGACAAACTGCAGACGAGCAAAGACTGGACTCTGAAACCAATCAGGAAGTTAATGAGGAGAAAAATGACTCCTGTTTTCCTGCAGCGCTGCTGACGAGGAGACTCTGAGGAGAGCTTGAAAAGCAGCTACACTTAAAGAAATTCACTTGTGTCCATTAAACTCTGGTTGTCGTTCAGATGAAGATGAGACTACACAACGAGCTGCTGGACTCTGTGACACCTGCAGATGTTTTCTGAAAGCTCCAGTTTTTAATCATCTCTTTCATGAAGATTCATTTTCAACAGATTAAACAGATTTATTCTGTCTTTGTGCAACAGGAAGTTTCCAGATTAAAGTTAGCTCCTCTGAGACTTTGTCTAATCTGGACTCTGGTCTGTTTCCTGCAGCCTTCTCCTCCGCCCATGACTCCTCTGCAACCTGCCGCTCCGTCGGCTCCCTGGTAGCCTCCGATGTGAAGGTGGAGTGTGTGCCTGGAGGTCAGACCTTCTCCATCGATGGTGCTGATGGTGACAGCAGCAAGTAGAAGATCAGCGGGCCATCCAGTTTAACCTTTAATCTGTCTAATCTGACTTCAATCTGAGTTTAATCTGAGTTTAATCTGAGTTTAATCTGAAGTTTAACCCTGATTTCAATCTGAGTTTAATCTGTTTAATCTGAGTTTAATCTGAAGATTAATCGGTTTAATCTGAGTTTAATCTGAAGTTTAACCCTGATTACAACCTGAGTTTAATCTAAAGTTTAACCCTGACTATAACCTGAGTTTAATCTGAAGTTTAACCCTGATTTTGATCTGAGTTTAATCTGAGTTTAATCTGTTTAATCTGAGTTTAATCTGAGTTTAATCTGAAGTTTGACCCTGCTTTTAATCTGAACTTCAACTCTGAGTTTAATCTGAGTTTAAATCTGAGTTTAATCTGAAGTTCAACTCTGAGTTAATCTGAGTTTAAGTCTGAATTTAAACAGAAATATAACTCTGTGTTTAATCTGAGTTTAATCTGTTTAATCTGAGTTTAATCTGTTTAATCTGAGTTTAATTTGAAGTTCAACTTTAAATTTAATCTGAAGTGTAACTCTGAGTTTAATCCCTGCAGAAAGGTGACATGAAGTCAAATGTTCAGATTTTGATCAATAAATGTTTGATTTTTGTGCAGAAATGAATCTCCTGACTTTATTTTTTCACATTTTCTATAACTTAAACAGATCTTTAATTTCTGTTCTTCAGCATTTTCACTTCGTGGAGTTGGTCTCTTGGTCTCTTTCATTTTCTGATTCAGTAAACACCAGTCAAAAACATTTTCTCTCTTATCTTATAGATAATCAAAAAGGTTGTTTAAAACTAACAAAAACACATCTGATAACCGAGCGACAGATTTAACAAGTTCAGTTTTTTAAACTATGAAAGTTGCCTCCATTGTCGAGGCGTCTTACCTGAGCTGTGGTTGTAAGGTTGTCGGTGCCTGTTGTGGCAGCAGCCCTCGAACCCGCTGGTGGACACCGGCGGTGAGGGATGCTGTCAGGCTGAAGAAGGAGTCCTAACAGGTCTTTTTGGCCTGTTGGACTCTGGAAGCAGCAGAGAGGTACCAGCAGTCCAAGCAGATTGTGGCTCAGGTGGTCGCTGAGGGAAAAACTCAGGTGTGGGAGGAGTTCAGAGAGACCATGGAAAAAGACTTCTGTACGGCTTCGAGGTGATTCTGGTCCACCATCCAGTGTCTCGGGGGTTGAAAGCGGTTTCACCACCAACACTGTTTATGGTGGGGATGGTGCACTGCTGACCTCAAATCAGGACGTTGTGGGTTGGTGGGCAGAATACTTCAAAGACCTCCTCAATCCCACCGACACATCTTCCCATGAGGAAGCAGAGCCTGAGGACCCTGGGTCGGACTCTCCAATCTCTGGTGCTGAGGTCACTGAGGTGGTTGAAAAGCTCCTCGTTGGCAGGGCGCCGGGGTGGATGAGATTCACCCGGAGTTCCTCAAGGCTCTGGATGTTGTGGGGTTGTGTTGGTTGACACGACTCTACAATACTGCGTGGACATCGGGGGCAGTTCCCCTGGATTGGCAGACCGGGGTGGTGGTCCCCCTATTTAAAAAGAGGGACCGCAGAGTGTGTTCCAACTATAGGGGATCACACTTCTGAACCTCCCTGGTAAGGTCTATTCAGGGGTCCTGGACAGGAGGGTTTGTTGGATAGTTGAATCTCAGATTCAGGAAGAGCAGTGTGGTTCTGGTCCTGGTCTTGGAACACTGGACCAGGTCTACACCCTCAGCAGGGTCCTGGAGGGTACATGGGAGTTCAACCAGTCTACATGTGTTTTGTGGACTTGGAGAAGGCGTTCGACCGTGTCCTTCAGGGACTCCTGTGGGGGGTACTTCGGGAGTATGGGGTACCAGGCCCATTGATACAGGCTGTTAGGTCCCAGTAGGACCAGTACCAGAGCTTGGTCCACATTGCTGGAAGTAAGCCGGACTCGTTTCCAGTGAGAGTTGGACTCCACCAAGGTTGTCCTTTGTCACCGATTCTGTTCATAACTTTTCTGGACAGAATTTCTAGGAGCAGCCAAGGTGTTGAGGAGATCCTTTTTGGTGACCTTAGGATCACATCTCTGCTTTTTGTGGATGATGTGGTCCTGTTGGCTTCATCAGATCCTGATCTCCAGCTCTCACTGGAGCGGTTCACAGATGGGATGAGGATCAGTGCCTCCAAATCCCAGACCATGGTCTTGTGCCTTCTCCGGGTCAGGGAGGAGGTCCTGCCCCAAGTGGAGGAGTTTAAAGTGTAACTTACCCCAAAATCAACTTTTTTAACAAATAAACTGTCCAAACTGTGTCTTAAGGGTAATATCTTGCTATTTTTGACCTAAATTTAACATTTTCGTCTAAAATAGTTTAAATAGTCAATATTTGGTCAAAAACGGCTTGGTACTGCCATCTAGGGGTTTAAAAAAGACTACCATGCTTGAAGTACGTTGTGACGTGCTGTACTGTGTGACGTGTCACAGTACTGTGACACGTCACACAGTACTGTGACACGTCACAGTCGTGACGTGTCACAGTACTGTGTTCAGTATAAAAGCCTCTCTGTAGAGACACGCCCTGCAGAGATTCAGCCTTGTTTCTGTGGTAGAAGCTGGCTTCTCCTCAGCCACAGTGAAAACATGGAGTCTATCAGTCATAAAACAAACTGAATTAAGTCACACATCCTCTTTGTGATTCAAGAGATTCAAACTGTGGTTGTTGTGTCACGTAGTTTAGATCGGGACAAAAATACACACACCCTCACACACA